TGTCAAATATAAATACATTCATGCATTAATTGTGGAGTTTTCTCTCATTTTTAGGAAGGTGTTCTAATCAATCCAGAGTGAGTGTTTTGATTTTCTGTTGGCTCTTTGTTTTAAATAATGCTGAGAAATTTTTTCAGTGAGAATTTTAAACCTGTTTACTCTGCTTATATGGAAGATTTTTCAATTTTCAAAAATCTAGAATCTTTTTTGTTTGTTTTTCATGACATTAACTTTTTTAAAGAGTCTGCCTGAGCCAGTTGTCCTGTAGAATAGCCACTGTTTTGATTTTGTCTATTTTATCATGATTAGATCCAAGCCAGACTTTTTTTGGCCATAATACAGTAAGTGATGTGTGCTTTTTTGCATCACATCAGGTGGTATATAATGTCAGGTTGCCCCACTATTGGTGTTGCTATATTTAGTCCTGGATCTTTTTCTGAGCATTTTAATACATTCTGTTGATCTACATGTCTACTTGTGTGTCATCCCCACATTGTTTTAATTACAGAGACTTTTTACAATATATATTGATACTTAGTATTTATTTTCAGTCATCACTCTTTTTTTCCCCAGGATTTTTCTAGCTATTCTTGCATAGTCTTCTATATGAATTTTAGAATCAACTTGTCTAGTGCTGGGGCAAAAACTATTTTATTGAAATCACATTAAATTCATATATGATCTCAGAGAAAATTGGTCTTTATGTGATGTTACATTGTCTTAGAACAAGGGGTGTCTTTCCATTTGTTCAAGACTACTTTTATGTCTTTCAGAAGTATTTTTACATTTTCTTCATACTGTTTTATGTATTTTTTGTATTTATTCAAGTATTTTCTCTTTTATGATAATCTTATAAATGAGGTATGCTTTTTAATTATATCTTCTAACTGGTTGTTTGAAAATGTAAAGGGTATTGATTTTTATATATTAAATTTTATATTATGCTGACTTTCTGATTTTTTAGTTCTCTTATTGGTTGTGTTAGTTTTAGCATTGATTCTTTTGGACTTTCTGGGTATAAATTATATTATCTGAGTAACAGATTTACTTCTTTTCCAATTCTTGAGAAGGGCTTGCAGTTTTCGTACAGACGTCTTTATATTGAATTTGGCAGGAAAGATCTTTGCCTTCTAAAATACTGTATTTTACTGTAATATAATAAATTGTATTTCATTTCTCTTAGCCATAGATAATCAAAGCATAATTCTCCCTGTGCCCCATATAGAGATTAATGGCAATTTCCAAAACTCAACTAGGATGCATAGTTATAGTGTTGCCTAAAACAAATAACTCTTTAGAAAGTTTCATAGAACAGAGGAGAGAAGTTCTCCTGTCCTTAGCACAGTGCCCTGTGCTTGGTGGGTTGCCCATAATCATTTGATGATGATACATAAGGTTGCTGGATATATGTTCTGGCTTCAGAATTTGGCACTTTGTTTGGCCTGCTTTGTTTTTGCAATAAATCTGATCATCTTTTTTCTTTCTTTCCTTTGATCATGGTCCTGACTTGAAGATTGGTAGAATTTAAGGAAACTAAAAAATATATAATTCTGCTGTTCCAATCAGTCAGGTACAAGTGGGGTATAACGTCATGTTCTGATTTTCCACAAAGTAAAATACCCAAAGCATCTCCCAAGAAGCATAAAATTTCTTCATTATCTTCTCCAGAGTGTATTAATGTCTGGAAAATTAGGAAAATTTTAAAACAATACATTTCAATTTTTTAGTAGGTTTAGAAACATTACCAAAGGAAGTAGTTAATTAATGTTTTTAAAAAGAGTCCTAGAACATGAATTCAAACATTCTGATGACTAATACACACAGTTAACACTGCATTGTAGAATATGAAGCTGGCGGCTATGGCATAGATTAATTCATTCAGTTAATATTTGAGTTAACTCTTGAGGGCCTTCTGTGTTTCGAGCATTTGGACCAGGCACTATGGATACAAAAGTGAATTAAATCAGATCCTGACCACAGGGGCTAGACAAACACACAAATGGGTCTGGAGGTTTGTGACTTAGATGCATGGGTTTCAGTAATGGTACTGCTGTTCCTTGGTTGTGTGACCCATCTTCTGACTTACTTTCTGAAAGCTGCTATTTCCTCCCTTTAAAATGGTGTTATCTTTGTTGTTTATTAATTAGCTGTCTTAAAATTCTTAATAGTTGTCAAGTTTTGTTTGTTTTGTTTTATTTTAATTTAAGAGATTCTCTAATTTTTCCATTGTTATCAGTGGCACTACCAGTCGTATAAGGTTATTTGCTGATCTTCAAGTTACTGAAACTCCTTACCAGAGTTTATTTTCTTTGCATGCTCATGGTTGTGGTCCCAACTATTCTGCTGGAGGTCTGAACTACAGCAAAAAAATGAAAGCAAACCTGTGCAACTCTTACCCCTGTGCTGAGGCACAGGATTAAGCTTCTCCTCTCAAGTCTCATCAGTTGCAGGTTACAGCCATCTCCCAGTAACTGGTCCTAGAAGCAAACTCCTCCAGGTGGATGGGCATATAAGGCCTCTGTTTAAGGACCATTGTGGTCCATAGGATCTGCCAGGCCCTTAATGTACTACAAACATTGAACTGACAGATAATAGCCAGTTACCCAGAGGATTTATAGCTTCTGCTGGCTGAGAGCCCTCAGTGAACTCTGGAAAACCCATTTTCTGCCCACACCTTGAGAAGAGGCCTGTTTTCCATGCACAGCTCCTTGCTCAGCACCGAGGAAGACACAGCCCTCCCATTCCCACACCTTGCCTGACACACTGGCTCTGAGATCCCAGGGAAAAAAAAAAAACTTCATCTTCTGAGATACTGTCCAGCATTTGCCATCCCTCTTGCCTTAGTCTTTGTAGGCCTCTGGAAAGGAGCTAAACATGATTTCAGATTTTAAAATCATTAGACAAAGTGAAAAAGAAGATGCTCACCTAGAAGATTAAGTGGCATAATTATCAAAAGATAAAAAATTATGAAGGTAAAAATAAAATGGGCTGCAGAATTAAACAAATAACAGAATAAAACTTCCCTGAGCAGGAGAATGATAAGATTCTGCAGATTAAAGGGCTATCAAGTCCCAAGAAAGATTAATAATAACAAAGACACACTTGGACATACCCTGGTGAAAGCAGTCTGTTGGCACAATTCCCTCTTTCAGGGGAAGTCAGTCTTTTTTCAGGCCTTCATCTGGTTGGATGAAGCCCACTCACATTATGGAAGGCAATCTACTTTACTCAAGGTCTGCTAACTTAAATGTCAGTCCCATCCAGAAACATCTGGAATGTTTGATCAGATAAAAGTGAAATAAAATATAGATTTTTTTGGGTAAAATTTACTTAAAATAGCAAAATATTTGGGGATGCTTTTCCTTAAGCTTATTCCTTTCTGTATATTCCCTACTGAAAGCTTAAACAAACATGTATGATTGTATTTCTAAATGATATTATTTCAGTAGCAATCTAAATTTAAAACTAAGCTTATATCGGGTTGGCCAAAAAAAGTTCGTTCAGGTTTTTCCATAAGATGTTATGGAAAAACCCAAACAAAATTTTTTTGGCCAACCCAATATCTTTAGAAAATTCATTTTAAAATTCTAGTTTTCAACACATTCTTATCCTGAAGTTGAAACTGTAAAACATGTAATTTTTTTCTTTGTACTTTCATAAGCTAAGGATGTAGATTTGGGGGTTTTTTAGTTTTTTTTATTTTCATCATTTTGAAATTACTTTCTAATTGGATAAGAATTTTAAAATCAGTAGTCAGCCTAGGCCTATTTTATGGCAGTCAGATTATAGTAGTGAGAACACGTATGTAAGATGTTGCTAATTCCTGAACCCCGTGGTATGACCACTCTCATTTTAAAGCCAGTGTGTCGTGCCAGACTATTCTTAGCAGTTGCAGCTAGAGAGGGTTGTGAGAGCATGAGGGCTGAGGAGGTGAGGATTTCACCATTAGTTCTGTATACTTCAGTGTAAAGTCTTACAATAAGAATCAGCATTATTTGAATATTTTCAAAAATATTTTTCTTGGGTTTTAAAAAACTTTTCAAGGCCAGTGTTATCTAAGAATAAAAAATGAGTTAAATGCCTATAAATGAGAGGAACTAGTGTTTTGTTTCAACTAGGAATTGTGCTATTTGCTCTTAACAGTGCATTGCAATTCTCACTTCTAACCACCCCTGCGTGGTTAAGCTTTTAGCCTTATTTAACAAACTGTTAAACTACTCACATGTTAACTATTCACATGTTGGTCTGCTGATTGACAGAGATTGAAAAGTAAATGAGAGCCACACCTGTGTTCATTTTAAACCTGCGCTTGATTTTGAACCAGTATCTTTCAGATGAGATGCAATGTGTTACATCCTTAGAAGCTGTTTATTACAAAGAAATGCAGTAGAGGACATGGGGAACAAAAAGATAAATGTATACATGATAAAATGATTTTTCTCAAGGTTAGCAGTCTATATTGTCATTTTAAAGGAGAGAATCAAGGGAACTTTTTTTTCTTCAGTACTCTGTGGTGATTGAATAGATAGCCGATTGTATCATAGTAGGAAATCAGATGATCAAAGAGAAATTCAAATAGATTTACTTTTTGTTTTTGAGAAAATAAGGAAGCGATTCTTTTCATAGACTTTGTGATATTTCTTTATGAAAACTTGATGACCTCAAGACAGAAGCAAAACTTTCATTGAAGAAATGTAGCAGAGGGAGATAATGGTATAATTTTTGAGCTGAGAACAGAATAAGAGCACATCTCCTGCTATTGCTGGATGCCACTTGAATGAGGAAGTTGGCTTAGCTCACCTTGAGTCAGCTCTCTTAATTAGCTAAACTCTCCAACTGTTTCTGACCAAAGAATTCATGATACCACTTTAAAGGATTCTGCCATCCAAGGAGGCTTTTTTCTTGTAAGCTGTAGGAGTCATGTCTTGCTGACATAAATGTTTTCAAAATAAAATGTATAGGTATAATAAGCAAATATTCACAATCTTTTCATTTCACAGGGATTATCAGTATAGAAAGAAAGCCTTGTAACCACCATGTAGATACAGCACCAACGGTAAGGCAGTCTATTTCTACATTGTTAAAACTGTTAAGAAGGCACAAAATAATACTGGTTATAGTGGAACAAAATGCCATTGTAGAAAACTCTTGTAACCTACCTTTTGCCAAGAGTTATACCCCTTTAAGAAAATTAACCTATGGTTTCTAATTAATCAAGATAACCTATCAATTTTTACTAAGATATAGGAAAATAAGATGCTGTATCATTTTTACAAGTACTTGTTTTATATTAATGTTATGAATAGAATGGTATTTAATTTTAAAATACTTTATACTTTTGATAAAGTACTGTAAGTCTTTATGCAAATTGATTTACACCCTTGTAAAAATGAGTATTATTTTCTGCACTAGCATCATTATTTAGCGTGAATGTTTTGTAATAGTGAAAGTAAGCCATTATGCTTCATTTCTCTCGTAGACTACTATGCGTTATTATTATAAAAGTGAAATCTAATCTTTTACCCCACTACTATTACTACCAGATAACAAAAGGCATTTAAGAATTATAGTATCTATTTACTATATTAAAAATAATTATAGAAAATAATATAAAAGGAAGACAAATAAATTTCCCTTTTAATCTCTGTATATAGTATTTGTATGTATGAAATACACTTCAGTCGCTGGTTCCCACTTGAAAGATTCACAAGAAATAGACTAGAGTATATCTCTTCACTAAGCATATTCTTGTTTCTTATCCTTTCTATATAATAAATCTTTCAAGTACTCCGTACAATTCAGCATTTCCTATTGTGAGAAAGATTTAGTAATATCTTTTTTAAGAAAATAAAAAAGTATTAAACTATATTTGAATTTTATTGATAATTAATATTTTCCTCACGGACAAATTGACTCCATTTTTTCTATTTGTTATAAATCTATATAATTGATTCAGCATGTTTGGTAACTTAATACGTGGGGCTTCAGAAACGACTGATGTTTGAGGAATTAATCATTAGCATAGTCATAAAAAGGTACATGGATATAGTGTGTGTGTTCCAGTTATCCTTTAGTAAGTATGCTAAAAGAATAGCCATAACATTATGTAAATTTTATTCATTAATATTAAAAATGGAAGGCTAGCAATTATGGAAAATTAATTATTTTAAGGTATTTGAATAATCTACTCATTTGACTATTTTATATACTTTTGAAATTTATTTTATTCCTGTAGGCTTTCCTGCAGCACCTTGTTTGCATTCTGGGTGTTTTGTACATTTTGGAGCTCAGAAAAGTGTAACCTGCCAGGTTTTTTTGTTTCACCCTGTAGGCTGATGGCAGATTCCCATGTGAATTAAATCATAAAATAATAGAACCAAATATTCATGAAATCATGAGAAATAATGGCATGAACAAACTTTACAGTAGTGCCCTGATCTCAACATTACTCCTGTGAATTAGGAACAAAATCTAATGCATAATAGTTTAGGTATTGTTGGTTTTTGGTTATGTTCTCCCAGTTGGATTATTAAATGGTGGCTCCTAATATATTAATAACATTTCTACTCTGTATAGTTGATAAGTTTTAAAATACTTGGTTTATACAGATGCTCCCGTAACACTCATTAGATCCCCAGGTTTGACTTGAGCCAGTCTTCCTTTCTGATGTCTTTTTCTGAGCTGTTCTCCTTCTGTCTCTTTACTATAGCTTAAGCATATTCAACAACCTTTCTCCTCTCCCCCATAGTTCCCCAGCTTGCTGACAGTTAACCTTGGCCCTTTCTCCATAACCTCTAAATAGAATCCCAAGTCTGTTCATTACCCAATCTCTGCTGGGCCCCAGGACAGATAAAGTCTGATTTTCACAGAAATATAATTTTACCTAATTTCCATCCTTTGTGTCAGTGTGCCCTTATTTTCCCTAAAGGGTTTAAGAGAAGAAAATATTTAGAGATAAAAGAAATAGGAAAAAGTCTGTCTAAAAGTTTTACAAAGTGGGATGTTTGTGAGTTCAAACTTTGTACTATACTGGCTAAAAAGGAGAGAGACTCTTTGGGCCTGAGAAAAAAAGTAGAAGGGGAGTGGGCCAGGATTTCACAATGGCTGAGGCTCTGAATGACTCTTGTCCTCATACCTAGCCACCAGTTTCCAGCCTACCTCTCTACAATTCCTTTGGCTCTAAGTCCTACCGTGAATGGCTGGGGTCTAGGAGAGTGCTAGATGCTACTTACGACTAATTCAGCAGGGGAGGGAAGCAAAACTTTCTTAGGCCTCTGTGACAGGGAAAGATGTGTTTCTTGACGTTTCAGGTTGGAATGAACTTCTCTGTAAATATATGGTTATGATAGTTTGATCTTATAGCGTTATAGTGGGATGCAGTAGTGTTCTTTAAGTGAATATAGGTTAGCCTGAGAACAAAACCCCTTTTGTCCCTTGGTTCTGTGTTCTTTCTCACTCTCTTTTTAATTTACTTGTTTCCCTTTTTTTTCATTTATTACATGAATTTTAATTTTTTGTTTGGAATTTTTTTTCTTTTTGACATAAATAATACCATATCTGTGTTTGAGGTTCCTTCAATAGAAAGCAAAACAGAATATCCCCCCATGGCATGACCCCCTCTACCAAAAAGAATCAAACCTTCCTGCTTAACTGGCTATAATCACTACTTACTTTTTTTTGCATTCAGAGCTCTGAATTTTGTTCATATCTAAGAGTATATTTTCAAGTTATTTTTTCAAGAAATATAAATTGAGAATTATATTACCTGAATCTGCATATTTTAAAATATCTCTCATTTGTCTTTGCATAAGACAGCTTGCCAGGGCTTTTAATTATTTGAATATAACCTTTTCCCTTCAAAATGTTGTGGAAATTAATCATCATTTTGCCTTCTGTCATTGAGCATTTCAGGAGAGACATTCAAATCAGTCTGATAGTTATTCCTTTGTATAGGTAGCATGTTTTGCCTGTTCCTGTATTACAGATTTTCTTTTATTTTCTTTATATGTAACGTCTTAGCTCAGATTTGATGCATAAACGTGTGGCTTTCTTTTCACTGATTTTTGGACTAAATGGTATTCACTCAGACGTGTTACTATTATAGGAAAAACAAATAAGACATCATACAATCATAATATTAGATTACATGAAGATAATTAGATCATGCCACTTTAAGAGCTGGTTGCTGCACCTGCTTATAGCCTCCAGCAAGTTAAGGATAATATCAGACTCAGATTAATCAGAGGTCATTGTCTGAACCCTGAAAGGCAGGTGTAAAAGTAAGTTAATAGTTAAATCAGCATAGGCTTGAGTCCCATAGTTACTTTAAGTGGAGGACTTATTTGCAAACCAAAGAGAAATAGCAGCTAGCATAAGGAAGTCTTCCACCCACATGTCTGGTCTTTTCTTACTTTAGGTTATTACACAAAGGACTTAGTTAAAACATACCTGCCTTTTAGTGTACAGTCATATGCACAGCAGTTCCCATAGCTTTTCCTACTTTCTGGTGGAATTAAAACATGGTAAGCCATGTTGAATATATAAAGTATTTTTAGTGATTTGAGGAGAACTGTTTTTGAATTTCTTCCAGTGAAAACTGGTATGATAAAATTCAAATAACATCAACATGGCCTATTGTAGTCAATCATTTTTGTAAAGCTTCTGCATTCCAAACCTGTAACCCTAACTTATACTATTTCTTTCTTCTTATTTTATTCAGTGATCCCACAACCCCCACTAATGAGAACGAATTTTCTTTTAACAAAGGGATTTTTTGTCAGTTTATAAAATTACAGCTTATGTTTTCGTAGAGGTCTACACATCTACCACAGCAGGTTGAAACAAACTCCTGCCTGTCTCATCAGAATTATACCAGTTATGGAACACTTTTGCCATCTGTTAAAGTGTTGCATAAATTATTAAGAATTAAAATATCCTAGCTTGATTGGAAATTTAAATGTTGGTTCATTATTCTTCATTGTTATAAGACCAGTTTAACAAGCTGTTCATTCATTCTGCGGTTACACTCCTTCTAGGTTTTCTAAGGGCTTGACTGATAAATTTTTGTCACATGATTTTTCGTCAATGGTAAACTTTACTGTGTTTTAGAGTATTTTATTATTATGAAAATATATCTGAGATGTTTGTGGTGTTGCTTGCCCTTAACAGTAATCTTATTCATAAATGTACATACAAATTAAACTTTATTCTGAGCCTCTTTTGGATTATATGATTATGGATTATATGATATTCATTCTACAGCATTTTGAGTTGTTTCTGCTGTTAGATTATTATCATTGTTTAGCCCACTCTAGGTTCACAAGATTGCTACATATTGCACATTAGTTTAATAAATGTATACATATGTTTACATAAAATATGTCTTTCACATTTTAACATACTGTTTAACTAGACAGCCAATCTAGAATTTTCCGGGAATTCATAGTATGTAAACTAGGGTGAATGTGCCCCTATAAAACTCATAAAATAGAACCTATGGCCAATCTCTTCCTGAAGGCAATTGTAGGGTGGAGAGGGAACTGATAAACTATAAGCTTTTATAACTTGTCATAAAAGAATCTGTTTTCACTTATCAATAAAGTAGCAATTCAGAGCAATTCTATTGAAATTCAAATGTAAATGCAATAAATTCATTCTTTTTTAAGACCACTTGTGAGTTATCCATAATATAATATTTTTCTTAAGTATTTGCACATTGATTTTTCTCCAGATATTGTAAATTATGAAGCTTATGTTGATTTTTCCCATTAGCATACTCTGCTGACATTTGTTTTTCTCAGGCTTTTTTCCACCAGTTCTCTTTTGACTTTGCTAAATTTCTCTACCTGAGAAAGTTTTAAAATTCTGAAAGTATCATATTACTGGAGGACTATAACATAAGAGTGGCATAATAAGAATTTATTTTCTAAATTATCAGCAAACATTAGGTGTACGGTGCCCATAGGACAGTACGGTACAAGTGCTGGGTAGGTGTGGGAGTGGTATGGGGGAAAGCAGAAATACAAAAAAGTATAAAACATGCTTTGTGTCTTTGAG